CTCTCTTCCCCTTCCTCTCTCTAATATCAATAAAATACACACATACATGTATACATATATAAATTATGGTTTTGAAAATCATATAACTACATAGAAAAATACTTCTAGTATAATTTTAAGTGCAATTCTATTGGCTGCTATTTATTGAGTGCATATGGGGTGCCAGCCAAAAATTGGGTCCCTTTCATAGAACTCTCATCTTCACAACTCTGAAACAGAGTTATCAGCAGATGTGAAAAATAAGATTCAGATACGTACTTGCTTAAAGTCACTGGATAAGAAGCTAGGATTTGAACAGATTTTCCTGTCCTCAACCTGTTGTGCCCAAAGGAGGTATATACATAATTATTCTACTATGTAAAGGGAGGGATGTGGTGTGAAAATACCCAAAAATGCTATTTATTGAGTGTCTCTGGGGTGCCAGCCAAAAGTTGGGCCCCTTTAATAGGAAGTTACCATGGGTTGCAATGGGAGGATTATAGGTGTTTTGTTTGGTCTTTTATATTTCTCCAAACTTACTGCAATTACTTTTATATTTAAAAAGAAAATGTGGAATACTAGAACCTTTACAACAGCAGAGCCTCAATTTCATGACATGCTATAAATCAGTGATGGCGAACCTTTTGAGCTCGGCGTGTCAGCATTTTGAAAAACCCTAACTTAACTCTGGTGCTGTGTCACATATAGAAATTTTTTGATATTTGCAACCATAGTAAAACAAAGACTTATATTTTTTATATTTATTTTATATATTTAAATGCCATTTAACAAAGAAAAATCAACCAAAAAAATGAGTTCACGTGTCACCTCTGACACGCATGTCATAGGTTCGCCATCACTGCTATAAATGTTCTTTCTTTGGTACTGAAAGGTAGTTGGAACTATATAGAGTATATGCTGTAGAGAGTTGACTTGGTGTGAACATGTACCTGCTCACTAGCTCAACTTTATTCTTTTTTTTAAATATATTTTTTATTGATTTTTTACAGAGAGGAAGGGAGAGGGATAGAGAGTCCAGAAACATTGATGGGAGAGAAACATCAATCAGCTGCCTCCTGCACACCTCCCACTGGGGATGCACCTGCAACCAAGGTACATGCCCTTGATCAGAATCGAACCTGGCACCCTTCAGTCCGAAGGCTGACGCTCTATCCACTGAGCCAGACCGGTTAGGGCACTCAACTTTATTCTTGCTCATCTTATCCCTTTAAGTAAAAACACTTATTGAAACAATAGCATCGATCAGCTGCTTCCTGCCTAACCCCCACTAGGGATCGAGCCCACCAACCAGGCATGTGCCCTGACCAGGAATCAAACCAGCAACCTCTTGGTGCCCAGGTCAGTACTCAACTGCTGAGCCACACCAGCCGGGCAAGAGAAGTTGTTTTAATAGATTGTCAAATTATTTCCAGAAGTAACTTTGTATTTTCACCTATAGCAAATGAATATCTCAGTTTCACCACAGTATCATCTGCCACTGTATTATCAGCAGATATACTTAAATAGTAACTCTAGCTTAATTCCTAGGGAGAGCATAATTGAAGGTAGTTTGAGAAAAACAGCACTCAGACCTTTCCCTAGAATTGGGTTAGAGACCTGTTGCCTAAAGCATCATGTAAGTTTGTTTCAGGGACGAATACAAAAATTTGAAGCACTGATGGATAAAATTCATATATCCTTTGAAAAGTGTCTTGTGCCTTCAGAACAAAGAGAAGCATTTCAGGACTAAATCACCACTGCTTATCAGCTTGGATTAGACTGAAAAAGGCTTGAATACTAGTTTACCAGTGTCTCACATTTGGGGTTAACAGACATTTTCAAAGGCATCCAAGTAAATTATATGCTTCTTGATTGGATAGATAGAAATCCAACTCTTGGGACAATTGGAAAGATTGAATATGGACTGAATGTTAGACATTATGGGATTATTGTTCATTTTCTTAGATGTGATAATTTAATGGTTTTACACTTTGGAGATGCATGCTGAAATATTTAAAATCCTTCAAATGATTCAGCAAATACATATAGAGAAAACAAATATGGGAAAATGTTATTGATTATAGTTGGAAGATGTACAGATGTTCATTGTGTTCAACTTTTCTGCATGTATATCTGAAATTTTCTTTTAAAAGCTTGAGGAAAAGATAAATTTAAAAAAAAAAAAAACATGTTAAATGTATTTTTTTTTTTTTTAAGTTTTGGTTTCAGTAAAATTCAGTTTCTTGAGCGTACCAGAATGATCAATACAGTAAGGGTGGGAAGAAAGTTCCACTAGTTTATTGCCAATCAAGAGGAATCAGCTTTAGGGACAGACCACAATGAATGTTGAGCAACAGAGTAACTGGTTGGACAACTGTTCTATCTAGGCCAAGAAGTCTCACGGGGAAAGAAATGCCAGTTTCTAATTTTTCCTTCTTCAACCAGCACAACAGATTTGTCCTGGACTGTAAAGACAAAGAGCCTGATGTGCTGTTTGTGGGGGACTCCATGGTGCAGTTAATGCAGCAATACGAGGTAAAGTGCAAGTGATAGGGGTGCTGTGGGCTACTGATGTAAGTGCATTCAGCAATAGCGGACTTGCATTCTGAGCTGACACCCTAGAAAAGCTCTAGCTCAGAGTGGAAGGTAGCAGAATGGTGCTCCGTGCGCTAGGCGTAATGAAACTAAAAGGTGGCATTGCTTATAAGTAAACTTCTGTTTTTCTCCTTGGCTTCCAAGAAGCTTCCCATTACATTTATTGTATTTGTCCTAGTCATGATTTTCAATTCTTGTGTTTTACTATTTTCTTATTTGAATTTGCTCATTTATATTTGTCTTAGTCATGATCTCAGTTCTTACTATTTGTGGTTTACGATTTTCTTATTTTATGTATTTTCTTAGTGAGCGGTTCCAAAAATAATTTTTTTAAGGTTAGGCATTCTTCCAAGGGAAATTTAAGAGAAGAACTTACTTTCTTTTTGGCTCTAGTACTGTAAATATCTTCATCTCGTATTTCCGTTTTACCCTATTCCTTTTCAGTGGTTCTCAACCTTGGCTGCACATTAGAATCACCTGGGAATCTTTTTAAAATCCTGATTTCTGGGCCTTATCCTCCGGAAATTCTGTTTCTTTGTTACTAATGTTGTGGCCCCACCCCATAACAAAGAAACAGAATTTCCGGAGGCTGAGGCCCAGAAATCAGGATTTTAAAAAGATTCCCAGGTGATTCTAATGTGCAGCCACGGCTGAGAACCACTGCTTTAAATGATTGAATAAAGGGAAGGTAGAGTTAACTCAATTGGCAACTTAATTATAAGTATTGCTACCTCTTAAGCAGCAACAGGTTGAGTTGTGACTTTCTTGAGTTGAGACGGAGTGCTGCACAGAGAGCTGAGTTGTACAGGGGCATCTTCCAAGTCCTTCACCAAGTAGCACACTACTTGCAGTGTGTGTGTGTGAATGCAGAAAATGAGTTTGTTATTTCAGGTCTTGTAGTGCATTACAATTGGGGGATTTTATTTCCCACGAATTTTAGCTTAAATAAATCAAGTTTTTCTCTCTTCAGATATGGCGAGAACTTTTTTCCCCACTCCATGCACTGAATTTTGGAATTGGAGGAGATACAACAGGACATGTTTTATGGAGGCTAAAGAATGGAGAGCTGGAGAATATTAAACCTAAGGTGAAATGAAACTTATTTTTTAAAGAATATCATTAATCTTGAGTCTTTTTCAGATAGTCAAATTGTCTGAAACTAGTAGTAAAGTTGCTTCTTTAAAGCATTATTTCACTGTTCTTTGGTTCATGCCCCACTAAGATGAATGATTGTTATTGCTTAAGAACATTCCAAATAAACATTTAAGAAATCAGCCCTAGCCAGTTAGGCTCAGTGGATGGAGCACCGGCCCGAGGACCGAAGGGTCAATTCCTGTCAAGGACATGTACCTGGATTGCAGGCTCGATCCCCGTACGGGAGGCAACCAATTGATGTCTCTCTCACATCAGTGTTTCTCTCTCTATGTCTCTCCCCCTCTCTTCCACTCTGTCTAAAATTCCGTGAAAAAAATATCCTTGGGTGAGGATTAACCAAAAAAGGGAAAGAAACCGGTGTACGTGCTTGAATGGTATTTGTAATTGTTACACTCTTCAGCTATAGGGAGAGAGGTGTTGCTAATGAGGTGTGCAAGTCTGTGAACCTGAGGCAGTGTGTGGGGTAAGCTGCTCAGAGGTGGGCCATGGGAGCAGGGCCAAGATTCGCCTCCGGAAGTGATTTGGAGCTGTTTCACCATATAAGCAAATTGGTAATCAACGCCTCCAAGACCTTCTGAAGAACAGATTTGAAGCAGATGTGAGCAAAGGTGCACCATAAATGTACCTAGTACCTTATCACAATATAAACATCTTCCATGTTCTTTTCAACCTCAAAGAAAGAAGCAAAGCTGAGCCACTGATATCAGCTGCTTTCGTTTTATTTTACTCTTTGCCTTTCTAATAGAAAAACTCATCCGGGTTCCTCTCTTTTGTGATAGTGTGGAAAAGTAAGATGTATGCCTCTAGGTGATAGACATACACCTAGAGACATTTTTTTTTTTAAAGAGAAAACCTTGTTAAAACTTGATCCAGCTTCCACCCCAGTGACTTCCTTGAATGTAGCTGTGTACACTCCCTTGGGTACTTTAGTACTTGTAGTCAGGGAGACTTTGTGATATAGGTAGCAAATATTTTTCCCCAGATTTTTTAGATCTCATTTTATTTAAATTTTTTTGACATGCACAGGTTTTATTTTTAGACATTGAATTTGTTATGTTTTCTGTAGAGTTTCTGGACTTTAAGAGATTAGCTTCCAACTCCATGATGATGAAAGAATTGTCTTATTTTCCTTCTGGGAAATTATCCTGATATATGTGAGGTGTGACTCAGTGTTTTAAGGTGATTGCTCAGTTGAAGTTACTCAGTACCATTTGAGAAGTTCCTTTATTCCTGCGTATTTACCCCTGTTTTTCTCCCCCCCTAAATTATAGGTCATTGTTGTCTGGGTAGGAACAAACAACCATGAAAATACAGCAGAAGAAGTAGCAGGTGGAATCGAGGCCATCGTACAACTTATCAACACAAGGCAGCCACAGGCCAAAATCATTGTATTGGTACGTAGTCTTTGGGTGGGTAGAGACCTTGATGCGATTAGCTCAGGTGAGGAATCTTAGAAATGTGAGGTTCATGAATATAAGGATCTTTAGGTGGAAGCAGGTTATGATACTCCTGAGAAACGCTTTTCTGGTATCTTCCATTGTCTTACCGGTCTCATCATTCCCAGACCAGCTGTGGGGTCATCTTTTATCTGCTCATCCTTGTTAGAAGTGGAAACCCTCTTGGTTGTCTCAGGTAGCCTTGTTTTTTAAAAATTGTTTAACTGTCTTCTAATAATTTTTTAAATTATATATGAGACTTGTCCTAGTCCTGAGTCTCTTTTTATTAGCCCTGAGTTTGGACTAGTTAGATGTGGTGTGTTCTGTGTCACTGTTAATATGTTAAAGGTGGTGTAGTCATTGGATCTCTGAATTCCCTGACACATCTGAGATTCCATCACTAAGAAAATGGGCACTTAACCTTAACAGAAAGTGCTAACCTTTTAGAGTTAAAGCAGTGAGTCTTCATGGTCTCAGAGACAAACAACTGCCTGTTTCATAGATAAGTGTACCTGTAGATGTCCTTAGCCCAACTAAAAAAGTATGCTTTAGCAAAATCTGATGTGTTCAGTTCTTGAATTAAATAGTGTTAAGAAGATAGGCATTTACTCAACATGTGAGGACTACTATGTGCAAAGTACTGTCCTACGTCCTGCACACACCAAACTGAAAAGACAGTACTTCTCAAGGAGCTCACAGCCTGGCAGGTGGACAGCGGTATAAAGAGAGATTTATCACACTGTATACTAATGGGAGTAAGGAGAGAATGCTGTGTTTTAGGCATAAAGTTGATGTCTGAGTTTAGTTTTAAAGAATTAATTGGTCTCCAAACTGGGATCGGAAAAAAGAGAAGGCATTATAGAGGACAAAAGAAAATGATCAAGGACTTCATGTATGTGTTTGTTGGGTGAGTGAGCGAGGGTGCTAGAAGAATTTCACAGCTGTCAGTGGAAAAGTGTGAGACTAGGATTGTTAAGAGGCCACAGCCAGGTCATTTCGGAATTTGTGTGCTATGTTAAGAGTTTGCATTTTATCTTATAGATGCTGGGGAACCAGGTTTGTTTTCTGAAAATATATTTTTATTGATTTCAGAGAGGAAGGAAGCGGGAGGGAGTAATAGAAACATCAGTGATGAGAGAGGATCATTGATCAGCTGCCTTCTGCCCTCCCCTTACTGGGAGTTGGGCCTGCAACCCAGGCATATGCCCTGACCGAGACTCAAACCATAACCTCTTGACTCACAGGTTGACACTCAACCACTGAGCCACACAGGCCAGGCGCCAGGTCTTTTAAAAATAATTTTTATTATGTGGTATTTTGTGTCATTTAATTTACTTATTTATATCTTGCTCTATTCCAGAAAGGATTATATTGTAGTAATGAGTTCTGAAGTATAGTGCCTAGTACATAGTACTTGCTTAGGACATATTTATTGCATGAAGTTGTTGAATAAATCCTCCATACATATTCTTTAGTTCAATCAGACTTAAATTTGATGTACAGTGGTTCTATCTACAACACTAAAACATTGGCAATAACCTAACCAGTCAATCCCATGGGGGAATGATTGCACAGGCCATTTATATAATAGCATTAATCATATGACAATTATGAGAACTGCATAAAAACAATTTGAGATTTCTTTTATCTATTAAATTGTATGTGGATGGGCAAAACAACAAAACAAAACAATTTAAGACATATTTAAGTGAAAAATTTAAATAAACTATGTATCTTTTCTTTAGAACTACTTAAAAGTATATATGCAATTGGAAAAGGCAAAAATTAAAATCATTATTATATGGTAAAGAGATTAGGAGCATATTTTTTGTGTTTTTTTTTTTGGTTTTGTTTTGTAAGTGGAAGTAACATATGGAGGGATAGATTGACTACCTGCAGCAGGGACGGGGGCCCAAAGCAGTTGCCAGTGAAGCTTCTTTCTCCCAGGTTTCAAAATCCCATGTCCTTAAGCTAGTCCTGGAAAGCGAGGGCTCCAAGAGAGTGAAAAGCAGGTCAGTGTCCAGAGCTTCTGTTCCAGGTTGTAGCCAGGTGTAGTTCAGTCTCTAAGCTAATTAAAGTCCACTAGTCCATGTGTGGAGTCCCAGATGGCCATAAGCCACGTGGGCGCAGGGGAGCATGTCCCCTGCCACAGGAGAGCCAGGAACCCAGTGTGCCAGAGAGCAACAAGCTATGTTTGTTTTAACGCAGTGATGGCGAATCTTTTGAGCTCGGCGTGTCAGCATTTTGAAAAACTCTAACTTAACTCTGGTGCTGTGTCACATATAGAAATTTTTTGATATTTGCAATCATAGTAAAACAAAGACTTATATTTTTGATATTTATTTTATATATTTAAATGCCATTTAACAAAGAAAAATCAACCAAAAAAATGGGTTCACATGTCACCTCTGACACACATGTCATAGGCTAACCATCACTGTTTTAACATAATATTTTAGCAATTACTAATTATTTTAGGGGGGAAGTCCCATGGCATACCCTGATACTCATATACTAAGGAAAATATATACAAATACTTACCTACTATTCTCATTCTTGCTTGAAAATTTCAGTAGGTATGGTGCCCTGTTCTTGAGGCTTAATCATTCTTTATGGCTTTGACTGCTGTTGTATTATTTGAAAGTCAGAACAAAGTATGTATTTACTAGAGACCCGGTGCATGAAATTCATGCACTCGGGGAGGGGGGCGTCCCTCAGCCTGGTCTGCGCCCTCTCACAGTCCAGGAGCCCTCGGGAGATATCTGACTGATGGCTTACGCCTGCTCCCCATGGGCCTAAGCCGTCTGACCCCTGGTGGTCAGTGCGCATCATAGCGACCAGTCATTTGCTCTTGGGCCGAAACTGGCTCTCCAACATCCTCTGAGGGGAACCCGGATTGCGAGAGTGCAGGCCAGTCCGAGGACCCCACCGGTGCACAACCAGGGCCGGGGAGGGATGTGGGAGGTTGGCCAGCTGGGGAGAGACCATGAAAGGGCTCCAGGGCATGTCCAGCCTGTCTCCCTCAGTCCTGATTGGCCAGAGCGTCTGCCCCCTGATCGTCAGTGCACAGCATAGCCAGTGGTTGAGCGGCCTTAGCATATTATTAGCATATTATGCTTTGATTGGTTGAACAGACAACCAGACGACCGGACACTTAGCATATTAGGCTTTTATTATATAGGATTGTTCAGTGGCCATTCTTCCTGGTTGCTCATTCTATCTCATCCAGGCTTTGATATGTCAGCATTGAGAGCTGTTCCTCTTTAACTATGGATGCACAGCCTATACTTTTAACAGTCATATATAAACTAGGGTTTAAGACAGTGATGGCAAACCTTTTGAGCTCGGCGTGTCAGCATTTTGAAAAGCCCTAGCTTAACTCTGGTGCCGTGTCACATATAGAAATTTTTTGATATTTGCAACCATAGTAAAACAAAGATTTATATTTTTGATATTTATTTTATATATTTAAATGCCATTTAACAAAGAAAAATCAACCAAAAAATGAGTTCGTGTGTCACCTCTGACACGCATGTCATAGGTTCGCCATCACTGGTTTAGGATGACCTCATCTGTGACTTTTTTTTTTTTTTTTTTTTTTTTAATGAGAAAAAGGAAGGAGGAGGGAGAGAGAGAAGCATCAGTGTGAGAGTGAAACATTGATCTGCCTCCTGCATGCCCTACTGGGGATTGAGCCTGACCAGGAATCAAACCAGCAACCTTTCTGTGTATGGGACGATGCCCAACCAACTGAGCCACAACGGCCAGGGCTCATCTGTGACATTTTGAGGCGCTTAACAAGGATAGAAGAAGATGAACGAGGGTAGCAGAGTCATGATTCTCTTTTGGAACTAACTATACAATCACACAATAAGTTGGTAATCAAGGCCCCAAAATTTTGCTGAAAAAAATAAAACAGGCATGAACAAGTACTTACTCTGGGCATAATAAAAATTATCTTTTAATAGAATACCCACAAAAAATCTTATTTTTGTGAAATAAGACCTCTTACCATACTCTGTACTAGAAATAGATGTCATCATTAGCTATTAACCAACTAAAAGGTTGGGGATGTCTGACAATTTTATAGTAGATTTGATCGTTTTTTTAAAGGCCATTTCTAGTTTGAGAAGATAAAACCTTCCTCTTATCATATAAGACCAGGCTTTTATTTATTATAGAAGGACAGATACCTGCTTTATCGAAAATCATATTTTAGATCATTAACATATAAGTTAAAAACAAATTTAGGACACATCTCTGTTTTAACCTACCAGATATTTTGTGTCTCTGATTCATCAAGACAGCATTTGTTCCACCTGTTTCTCATGTGTGGTCATGTAGGTTCCATGTGGCATTAACAAATAGATGTGTATTTGAGCTAGATTATTCTAGTGACTGTTGAGAACGATGTGAAGGAAAGACAACATTGGACATTGAAAGACCAGTCAGGAGATTTTACATTAATGGAGGTGTGAACAACTAGCCATAGCAGTGTATATAATCAGAATGGAGAAAAAAGAATGGATTAGGAAAACGTTTAGGATACAAATCTGAGTAATCTGATAAATAGATTAGGTATGAGGGGTGAGAGACTGGGGGTGTTGGAATGATCAGTTGATATAAAGAATGTAGAAGGAGCGTAGTTTGGGGGAAGTTGGGCGTGTTAAGTTGGGAGTGCCGCAGGAGCATTCAAGTTTGCTTCTGTAGCTGATGTTCATTATGTAGTTCTGAAGCTCTAGGGAGAGATCTGGGCCCAAGTTTTTAGACTGGGAAGAACAGTGAGCCAAGGAGACGACCCTAAGAATATCAGTGATTCAGGGACAGGTGGAGGAAGAGGAACTCCTGGAGAGACTGAGAAGGGATGGTCAGGGAACTTTTATTCAAACCAAAGCTGGTCCCGTGTTTCAGAAATCAGTGGTGTAGCAAGTGCCAAATAAGAGCAGTGCCTCTTCTCATCTTGTTCTTCTCTGCTCTGCCCCAGGGTTTGTTACCTCGAGGTGAGAAGCCCAACCCTCTGAGGCAAAAAAATGCCAAGGTGAACCAGCTCCTCAAGGTTTCCCTGCCAAAGCTTGCCAATGTTCAGCTCCTGGATACAGATGGGGGCTTCGTGCACTCGGACGGTGCCATCTCCTGCCACGACATGTTTGATTTTCTCCATCTCACAGGAGGGGGCTACGCAAAGATCTGCAAACCCCTCCATGAACTGATCATGCAGTTGTTGGAGGAAACACCTGAGGAGAAGCAAACCACCATTGCCTGACTGGCTCCCATCAGTGTTCATTGCATCCCCGCTTCCTGAGATCAGTTATGTCACTGGCACTACGGAATCCTTCTCTTTCCTAAGGCACTTTGCGTTGTAGAATGTTCCTGGATGTTCATATCTAGTGTTTGAAAGGGAGGAGGGATTGAAACTGGTCCTGTACATAGGTTTGTTTGACACAGGAGAAAAATTAGTTAAGGAAGATGGTTGTTTAAATTCATTTGAAACCAGAAGGGGACTTTTTAGTTGTATGTGTGACACATTTATTGAATTATCACTGTTTTACCTAGAATGACATCAAGCCTAAGTACTGAACAAAGTGAAGATTCTTTTCTTGGCCTTTCTTTCTATGGATTATGTCATATATAATAATGATCAGAATCACATCTACTTGACTTTACAACATGGTTTTTTCTAGTTTTTAAGGTTCATAATTTAGCCTTTTGTTTCTATGTTCCTTTATTCGTGTATTCTCAAATGGACATACTTGTCATTCATATATGGGAGATGCTATAGTTACAAGTGGGTTTGTTCCACTGTCTTATCTTTCCCAGGCTTAGCAGTGAAGAATAGGTTTTGCCCCAATTGGGGAACTCTGTGGTGGGTATTATTTTTATGCTGCTGAATATCATGTCTGTAATAGACCCATGCATGCAGCCTTTGCTCCTTTTTTGTAGGGTCCTTGTTGATATTACCAACTTTAACACATTTCTTACCTAGGAGCTCTGTTGCTGGGTGTGTAAGTCCCCAGCCAGTTACTCTCATGATATTCTGATGTGTGGCTCATTCTTGTGTGGTGTTCTGTGCTAGAGTCTGTGTAATGCTATCCAGATGCAGAGTGGTTTGTTCCGTTTGCTTTTCCCTTAGAACCTGCTACAGTTTCTTTCTTTCCTTTTTTTTCGCCCCCCTTGGGTGTGTGTGTCGGGGAGGGGGGAGGATCAGATCAGACCTCTTCTATTTTTCATTCCATAAGCCCTGACATTATTTCAAGTTTTGTAGTATCTTAAGGTGTATATTTTATTTTTGTATTGTTTTAGTTTTTAAATTATATGAGTCCAGAAAAGTTTGGCCTTTTCTCATGGGGCAACAAGTAGAACTATTCTTCAGAATAAACATCCTACTTGGTCCCCCCTCCTCCCCCATCTTAGGCTTGTTTAACTTTCAGGATTTTTTCTTAATGAATCTTCTGAGAATTTCTTTCAAGAGAGCTCTTTATTAGATGGTTTGAGCTACAAGAACTGCCATTTTAAAACAATGGGACAATGGATGGTTTTTGTTCAGTAGACCTATGAAATGTATACAAACTGGATCTACAAACAGATATTTTAAACTGGACCAGGTAGATATTGAAGTAGCCCATCCAGATGTGCTCAGCAGTGATTTTGCTTAACATTCTGGTCTAGTAACTAAGACTTATGTTTCATGTCTGCTTGCCAGGCAGATAGCAGTGCTGTGGGGGGCGGGGGAGGGGTGCTGATTGGTGCCAAGCCTGTCCTGGTTGAGGGATAGAGCTTCGGCTGATGTGTTCTTTTCTTGTCAAGCCTCTTGCTAGGAATTTTATTGTTTTTTGTCTTTTTAAGAAAAAAATACATACTTTTCTGAATGTATCATGTCTTCATTAACAAAAGAAAATACACATGGTGTTTACTAAACTTGTTTACTATTTTAAAATTTTCTTTTTATTTTTAGTAACCCAGGTTCTTGAATTTTTCAAGACAGATTTTTTTTTTCTTAGCTTGGATAAAGTTCTAGGGAGAATAACTAATTAAGCCACAATTTTGTGTGTGAAAAGACAGTTTCCTTTCCAGGTCTTCTGATTGTCAGAGGGTGGGAGCCTGAGGGTGCTCCAGCAACAGAGGATTCAGTCCCTGTGTGTGCTGGCCTCCAGCTCTTGTGCTCATGTGTACAGACCTGAGATAGCACTGCATTTTCTACTTACCGGATCTATTCGAACAGTAGTATTTGAAACACTAGACTCGTAAATAAAAGTCTGCCCCATTGCTACTGTGCAGATATTGAGTCCGCTTTCATTTCTTGCCAGCACTGCCTTAGGCAAAATGTGTTCATCTAGGTGTCACCAAAAGTGAATAATTATAAAGGCAGTGTTTATTAAAATACATTTCATTTTCAAAATTGAGCTATCAGCTGTTAAAGTTTGTATATATTTTGGGGGGGATACCCTGTATTTTTCTTTCATCAACATCCAGGTTTGCTACAGTGACAGAACTTAATGCTTAGTCTTTGGATATCTCTCTCTCTCTCTGTCCCTCTCCCTCTCCCTCTCCTTCCCCTCTCCCTCGTCCTCTCCTTCTTCCTCCCCTCCCTCCTCTATATAAATTTAATGCACCGTCCAGGTGAAATGTCCTAGTTGTCATTATGATTAAGGGGCCAACTTTGCAGAGGTATTATTCTATTCCTCTATCAGCAAATTTTAAGTCCTTTGTCCACCCATTCCTGCTACGTTAAGTAGCAGCTGGTGATGACACTATAATGATTTCTGCGGTCGCATCTTGAATGTGGCTGGTGAAAGATGTACTGCCAGGGATGATCTGGGACCTGTTGTTTTGCTGCCATAATATTCTAGACTGTCATGGGCCTTTTTGGACTATATCTTTTGTCAAAAACCTAAACCCACACAAAACATCTGGAGTAGCTTATGCCCTGCTGTTACGAATTCTGTCTCATTGTTAAATTCCAAATTTCTTTATTTTTTCAGCCTAGTCACTGTTTACAGTTGTCCGCTAAAGCCTGAAATATTGTTTGTGCTGTGGTGTATGAGCATTGCCAGTTTATATTTATTGCAGTGAAGAAACTGAAAACATTGAAATCGTGGGCATGTCCACGTTCCTATGTTTGTGTGGGTGCATGTGGGAGAAGTGAGTTGGGGTCTCTTGAAAGGAGGCTTTTTGGAGTGGGGCCTCCCAGCGTCTTGTTGGTGTTCCTGCTTGGGGATCACTGCTGCTAGCGGACTGGACCTCCCTGGCAAGTCTGTGATCTGCTTTGGCAAAGTTTCATTGACCAGTGAACTCATTCTGTTGTTGTAGTGCGTATTTCAGTATAAATGTAAACATTTCACTTAAACTGCTGTCTTTCTGCTTCCTTTATCGAGTGAATGGAGAAAAGAAGGGGTGGGTTTTTCCTATCATCTCACAAGCCAATTGGATACTTAGATCTGCTTCTTTTCTGTGTGAATGCACCAAGCTGACCCTCGGGTTAATCTCCTTAGGGGTGTAGGCTGATAGGGTGGGATGAACAGATACAAGGAATCCTAAGTAGATATATGGGAAAATTGTTAAAGAAAGTGTTTCAGATTGGTTAAGAATATCTGGCAGTTAAAAACAGAATTAACTTTTAAATGATTAATTGGTCTTTTGACTCTTTTTCTCATTTCAGTCTTTAGAATTTATTCACATTTAAATGTCTCAGCTTCTACTGTTTCTCCATTTCTCACACTAATAATCACCAGTTTTCTGTTTTACACTGGAATATTACATAATGTGACTCTGGAGCCCAGGACAGGAAACTTGAACATGGACATAGTTCTCATCTACTTCCCTCGCCTCCCCAAACCGAAACGCCGGCCCCACATGCAGCCTCTTTAGAGCGTTATGACTAGAACAAGGTTCAGTTGCTCAACTGACCATCAGGCCTGTCCGATGACTAACCACACCCACCCCAGCAGTAAGGACAGTAAATTGCTATGTCATATCATGTTCTTAGCAGCTGAATATGTCTGTGGTTTTTGTAACATTCACCTTTATCACTCAAGTGCAGCAATGCTATTGGTCACAATGGCCTACTCCTAGGAGAGGACACATTTTGGAGATACTAAACTGAGGTGTTTTTGTTTTTCTGTTTGCCCTCCCCCCATATCTAATCACACCAAGTTCCTCCCACCCCAGAGACCTTGCCTTTGTGAGCAGCGGGAAAGCAGCCTGCGTCCTGGGCTTTGCTGACTGCCCACACTCTCCCCTGTGAACCTCTTCCATGGCGCAGCAGTGTGGTAGGAGGGAAAGCCCTTGCCACATCTACTTGGGAAAAACTGACAAAACCAGCAGGAGAGCCCATCTACTTTTTCCCGGCCGTGATGGGTAAAATTCTGTTTTTTTAATTCTCACCCAAGGACATGCTTGGAGAGAGAGAAAAACATCGATGTGATAGAGAAACATTGATTTGTTGCCTTCTGCACACACCCCTACTGGGGATCGAACCTACAATCCAGGTATGTGTCCTGACGGGGAATAGGACCAGCAATCTTTTGGTGTATAGGACGATGCTCATGCTATTTAGCCACACTTCCTGGGCTGATGGGTGAAATCTTAACTCAGCTACATATTTTTTCATAGTCGCAAAGCAAAGACCTTAAATGTTTCGCTAAACAGTCTTATTTTTTAATATTTTTAATTTTTTTCCTTACGAAGGGAGAGGGAGAAACATCAATAAGAAAGAGAAACAGCCCTGACCAGTTTGGCTCAGTGGATAGAGCATCAGCCTGAGGACTCAAGGGTCCCAGGTTCGATTCCGGTCAAGGGCATGTGCCTTGGTTGTGGGCACATCCCCGGTAGGGGGTGTGCAGGAGGCAGCTGATCGATGTTTCTCTCTCATCAATATTTCTAACTCTATCCCTCTCCCTTCCTCTCTGTGAAAAATCAATAAAATATATTTAAAAAAAAAAAAAGAAAGAGAAACATTGATCACTTGCCTCCCTTACACGCCCTTAACAGGCTGAAGCAGTGACCTTTCAGAGCACAGGACAGGATGACACTCCACCAACTGAGCCATACTGGCCAGGGCCATCGTCCTTTTTTTGGCCTGGTTTTATGTTATACCTCTTGCATTTTGCTTACTTGCTGGCTTATTTTAGTTTAACTCAGCACATCAAAATACAGGGTGGGGCAAAAGTAGATTTATAGGTGTTCCTGTGGAAAATAACAATCTATATAAAAGGCTAAGTGACCATCCGATTGGTAGCTATGACATGCAGTGACCACCAGGGGGCAGACGCTCAATACAGGAGCTGCTGAGCTGCCATGACCTGGCAGCTGTAGTTCTCTGGTGACACACCCAGGAACCAGAGAGGGGGGAGCCCAATTCCGGGTACGTCACCTGAGAACTGCCTTCTCGCAATCCAGGACCGCTCGGGGGATGTCGGAGAGCCGGTTTCAGCCCAATCCCCACAGGCCAGGCTGAGGAACCCCACCTGCCGGAGGGACCCCCACTCACTCTGCAAACGCCCTTCGAGCCCCGGCGCTGCCCCAGGTGCAGCTGGCCGGGGAGGGACCACAGGAGGCTGGTCCCAGGGCGTGTCCAGCTTGTCTCGCCCAGTCCCGCCCTGGCCGGCTGCCACCTAATTAATTTCCTTTCACTGTGCACGAATCCGTGCACCGGGGCACTAGTGATCAATAAAAGTACAAGAGTAAACTTGCTCAAACTCATTATTGTAAACCTACTTTTGTGCTACCCTGTATGTATCAAAAAACACTAAATAGAAATGTATTTTACACACTGATCAAGCTTCAACAGCACACCTATAAAGAATTCATGACTCAGTATATTGCAGCATGCTCATTGATAACCACTGATAGCCCAAGATATTAAATATAATGTCCTCTCCATGACCTGGCCCTCCAGTTCATATCTTCCCACCCCTTACTTGGAACTTCCTTGCCAATAGTATTGAACTTTGAATATGCCTTTCCCCAGAGATTCCCGCCCCCCTGTCTGGAATATGCTCCTCCTACTCACCTTTGAAGAATCGCTCAGGGACACCTCCTGGAGTGTTTTCTGATTTCTCTTTCCAGCCCTGATCTGTACTAGTAGGTCTCTCTCATCTCTGAGTTCCCATAATACCTTGTGTAAATCTTTTTTTCTTTTTTCTTTTTTTACTATGCTTTTATTGATTTTAGAGAGAGAGGGAGAGGAATAGAGAGGTAGAAATGTCGATGGGCTGCTTCCTACATACCCCTACTGGGGATTGAGCCCACATCCTGGGCACATGCCCTGACCGGGAATCAATCCAGGGACCTCTTGGTTCATGGGTCGACACTCAACCGGCCGGGCCTTGTGTAAATCTTTTCTCATGGAACTTACCACTCTGTATTATATGCTTATCTATTTATATTGCTAGATAATGAATTCCGTAAGAACAGAGAATGGCCCACTGGTGTGGCTTAGTGGTTGAGCGTCGACCCATGAACTAGGAGGTTAAGGTTTGATTCCTGGTCAGGGCACATGCCTGGGTTTTGGGATCAATTCCCAATCTGGGGAGTTCGGGAGGGGAGGCAGCCGATCAGTGATTCTCTCTCATTAGTGATATTTCTGTCTCTCCCTCTCCCTTCTTCTCTCTGAAATAATAAAAACTTTTTTTTAAAGGAACAGAATGTGTTTTAAGCATCTTTGTGTTCCCAGCACCTAGCTTAGTAATTAGTACAAACTAGGCACTGAATAAATGAATTATTAGGGGATTTTTTTGTTCATGCTCTTCTAGTCAGTAACTGTCAGAAATGAAACTGGAATACAAATTTTGACTATAGTTTCTGCTTTTTCAATGGTACCATGCTTCTGCTTGTGAGAAACAATAAACATTTTTGCTAGTGATAAATAAGGGCAAACAAAATTCACTTGAGAATAACAAAAAAGGTGCAGTACAGACCTATTACAAAAATTTTTGAGACATTTTCTGGAATTTTTTGAGTATCTCTAGGCTGAATTAATAAAGATAGTTTTATAGGAAAAGTGAGGCTAGAAGAAAAAGCTCGGCTGGTTCAGAGGAACAAAGGTATTATGAATGAGAAAATAACCGCGGGGAAGGCTGAGGCCCAGTGAAACACACGAGAAGCTACGGGATGTGGCCTGTCTCTGAGCGTGAAGAGGGGATTCTCTTTATTATGGAGAACAACTTCGAATAAACCAGGCAGCTGCACATGATCTTTATTTATTTATTTATTTATTTATTTATTTTTGTTAACCCTCATCTGAGGCTATTTTTCCATTGATTTTTAGAGAGAGTGGAAGGGAGGAGAGCCACATCAATGTGAGAGAGACATAAGGATTGGTTGCCTCCTGCACCTTGCCCTGACCAGGGCCTCGATCAAGCCTGCAACTGAGGTATATGCCCTTTGACCAGAATCAAACTCTAGCCCAGGGGTGGGCAAACTTTTTGACTCGAGGGCCACAATGGGTTCTTAAACTGGACGGGAGGGCCGGAACAAAAGCATGGATGGAGCGTTTGTGTGAACTAATACAAATTAAAAGTAAACATCATTACATAAAAGGGTACGGTCTTTTTTTGTTTTTTAGTTTTATTCATTTCAAACGGCCGGATCCGGCCCGCGGGCCGTAGTTTGCCCACGGCTGCTCTAGACCCTTCATTCAGGGGCCGCCATTCTATCCACTGAGCCAAGCGGCTAGGGCTGCACATGATCTTCAGATACAACCAGAGAGGAGGAGTATCTAAAAGGCTCTCAGCTGTACCTTCTGATTTCTTAGCTAGAGACCCACACTTGCTTGAAACAGGAGGATGGCAGGCTCACTGTTATCAGTGATCTTTGGAGACACAGATTGAGTTGATCAATTATTTATCTGCTTGTTTTCAGCAACCTGATGACCAGCCTCATTTTCTGGAAAGCTCTGATGTTGGTTCCATGACATGGCCACAGGGTGCAGACAGAGGGCCTGCATCTATTTCCTGGTCTGGATGGGAAAAGCCTGGTTTAGGAAATGGAAAGTGGCTAATACCTCTGGCAGAAAGTCGTGCCCATTTAGTCAAAACTGCTCTCTCTTGACTCATCTCCTACTCTGGACAGTAGTTCAGGATGATGAATGCCACCAAGTCCAGCTCTGCTCTGTGGCATTTAGGACAGTGGAGATGAGACATGGCTCCTGAAGGCTCAGAAAGTGTGATTTGCCCGGCTGATGTGGCTCAGTGGGTGAGCATCGACCCAGGAACAGAAAGATCATGGTTTGATTCCATGTCAAGGCACATGCCTGGGTTGCAGGTTCCATCCCCAGGGAGGGGCATGCAGGAGGCAGCCAATAAGCTAAAATAAATTTTTAATAAAAAGTTTGATTTGCCCAAGATGTGCAATGCAGGGCTTTAAACCCATACCTTTCTGATAAAGTCCTTTTTCCATAATTCCATGAAGCTGTGTGACATGTTTGAGACCTTATCCGCAGAAAGAGTTTATTTACTCTGTCTCTTCAGCTGATTCCCAATCTATATGCATCCGGTGTTCACAGCTCTTGAAGGGAAGATACAAGGGCAGCCTGGGAAAAGTGACCTTTCAGGACGGGAAGGAGTGCTGGCCTCTCGCTGCCAGGGCTGCCTGTGTCCAGGGTATTTTTATTTGAGCTCCAAGTA